CAGGCCTTATTCTGGCGCTGGCTCATTTCTTGGACCGCCTGAAGAAGACGGCCAGCCAAGGCGCCAGACTGTGGTTTCCAGTAGTTCTGCTCTGTCGCAATCTTCTTTGTGTCGATATCAAGAATAGATCCGCGCCGGACCCCAAGTTCTTCTGGTGCAGAATCCCACCAGCCACCAGGATAGATGCGGAGGCCGTTGTCTGAGCAGTGTGCGATTCGCGAGCGCAGTTTGACCCTAGGCAAGAGCCAGCGAAGCTGTTGCTGTAGACCGTTTTGCACGTTGGTCCGCCGATCCAGCTCGACCGGTCTCGCCCTATATTTTTGGGTCAGCGGCGGTTCGTCTCGTTGCTGTGTTGGACAGCCAGCTGGTCTCTTGGTTGCCCCGGATGTCATTTTCGAGGCTGCACTTTTTTCCCAAGGGCAGCGAAGCAATGACAGGAACGTAGTCACGATGGTGCAGGAAAGCCAGCTGGTCTCTCATTTAGGTTGAGATTAGAGCCCAGAACGCCGAGGAAGCCCAGCTTTCGTGCCAGTCGGTGGTTGGCCATGCTATTGGGACCTGGACGATGAGAGCAGGGCGAGTTGACTTGGCTCTTGGCGCAGCCGGTGGGCTGCTCTCGACTCGCTCACCTCTGGAGGCCGAGTGTGGTGGCCGCTTCGGTGACTACATCGGAAGAGGTACGAAGGGAGCGGTGATGGAAGAGAGGAGGAGAATGTACCTCGAGTCGAGAGCGAGTTGGGTGACACGGCGAGTGGGAGAGGTGCAATTAACTCAGCCCCCCCTGCCCAGACCTCCAGGCGCTGCAAGGTACAACCCCCATGAGCGGCCGAGCCGTTGTTTCAACTGAACCTGACAAGCGGATTGGTCAACTCTGTTCTGTTTCCCTGTTCGTCCAATTATCCAACGGCTTTTTTGCCTCTCTGTTCGTGTTCTTGGCCCCTTCTTTTGCAGGAAGCAACCCACACCTCGCTGCTGAATTCACTCGAGAGGAAGGAAGGAGGGAAGGAGGGTGTGGCAGTATCCGTATCCGTAGAGCTGCACTCCATTCACTTGGGAAGGTGCTTCTTGACTCCTGCTCCTGCCTCGCTCCTGCCCCTGTTGGTTCCTGCTTTCTACTGGGGCAAGTCCACCTGGTCGTTGCTTCTTGCTTCCTGCCTTACGGGACCAGTCTCCTCTTTGCTTGCCTTCCCAGATGGAGCGCTCCAACCCACACCTCCATCAACCTTATCCCCCGAGATAATCCTTCTCTCTTGCTCCTCTCCTTCGGCCAATTTATTTACTTAACCTTCCCGCCTGCCCTCACCCACCTCCTCTTGGTTCCCCTTCTTCCATCCTCACGATCAACATCAAAGTTGGTGCACTGTTCCGACCTGCCGGACACTGAATAGCATCGCCCTTCCTTTTTTGGAGACTTACACAGTCACCAGACATTCCTTTTTCCGACGCACCAACGCTTCGTTGATTCACATCCCACACCACACCGTTGAACAGGGTTCACTGAGTACTTCACATTCCAATACCACCCAGTCACAAGCCTCCTGGTTGAGTCAAAGAACAGCCTGGGCCGTCGAACAACCCTCAAAAGATTCCAGAAACATTCTTACCCGCCAGTTGCGATTCTCTTTGAGGCCGGTCAAATACTCAAGGAACGAACGCAATTTCCCAGCAATCTCAGCATCCAACGCTCATTCCAAAGAACGTCTTACGAACAACCATGAAGCCTTCTACTGCTGTCTTCCTGGCTTCGGCCTCTGTTGCGCAGGCTCTCCAGCAGTGCTCCTCAGGTACTGCCACTGAGGAGGGTGGTAACTGGTGGTGCGGCGTTGTGGAACAGATCCTCTACTCCAACGTCGGCCACCCTGGCACTTACAAGGCTGTGTCTAACATGGGCGACGATGGCTCTTGCACCTTTGAAGATGTTGCCTTCTCTGGTCCCTTGGCCCCCTTCAATGAGGAGGTGAGTTTCTTTCCAACCTTTCCAAAGGATTTATTGCACAAAGGTACTGACATCGTCGTAGCTCACTCCTCTCTTCCGCGGTCCCATGAACCTCAAGCAAGTTGCTGTGTACAACCTCAAGTCCAGCGCCAAGCGTTCTCCCGCTGTGTCTCACACTCACGCCCGCCGCCACGGTCACCACCACTTGCACAAGAAGCATGCTGAGGCTCATGACAACAAGGAGGAGAAGCGCGATGTCTGGGTCACCGCTACCATCGACGGCATTGTCCAGTCTTGGATCAACAACTGGAACCCAGCCGCCACTCCGAACGTTGCCCCTGTGGCCAACACTCCGGCTGTTGCTCCCATCGTGGCGCCCACTCCTACTCCTGCTGCTGTCTCTCAGCCTCCTGTTGTTGCTGCCGCCGCCGCCTCCAAGCCCTCCAGCTCCAGCAAGGCCAGCCCCAGCAAGGCCAGCACCTCCACTGGAAGCTCCAGCGGCGAATACAGCCGTGTTGCCTACTACAACGCCGACCAGGGTGTCGCTGACGGCCTCGTCTTCCTCGGCAACTACGGTGGTCAGGGCTCTGGCAAGTTCGATAACGTCTTCGGTAACTCTCTGTCGTACCTCAACTCTGATGCCAGCGGTGGCGCTGCTTCTCCCGAGGTCCTGAACCCCGTCTACCTCCCCTCCAACAAGGAGTTCGCCATCTACAGCGACAAGGAGTGCACCGACGGCAGCTGCGGATACTACCGCCCGGGCTCTGTTGCCTACCACGGCTTCAAGGGTGAGGACTCTGTCTGGCTCTTCGAGTTCAACATGCCCATGGACGGTACCGCCGGTTTCAACGCTGACATGCCGGCCCTCTGGTTCCTGAACGCCAAGATTCCCCGCACCGCCCAGTACAACTCTTGCTCTTGCTGGCCCGCGTGCGGTGAGCTTGACATCTTCGAGGTTCTCGCTGCTGGCGACACCAAGTGCAAGTCCACCTTCCACTCCAACGTTCCTGGTGGCTCTTCCGACTACTTTGACCGTCCCACCGGTGAGCCTATTAAGGTTGCGACTGTTCTCGACGGCGACTCCGGTCAGGTCTCTGTCAAGGTCCTCGACAGCAGCGTCGACTTCTCTGCCGGTCTCACCCGTGAGCAGGTTGAGGGCTGGCTCTCTACTACCTCCATCGCCTCCACGAGCGGCAACAACAAGGTCAGCTTGTTCGCTCTCTCCAGCTAAGCGGAAAGCGCCAAGATTTGAATGAGATTTTGGGAGGTCAACGATTGCATATATGGGATTGGGACGGCCTTGTTTTTTCGACACCCCTTTTTTTGACGAAATTTCTCTTCTTCTGGCTCGCCGAGTCGAGCAAGTCTTGCTTGCATTGGATCATGGTATCTGATGACTCAACGACGCCTTTTTTTTTCACTTCTTTTGATACCTTATTCGGGGATGAACAGCAAAGATGCCTCGCATTGGGAGGCAGGCGGGGATTGCAAAACGAAATGACTCTTAGACGGCGTCCAAGATGATACCCGGCCCCGGAAAAGTGCGCCTTTTTGATTTCAGGGATGGGGCATGGTTAGAGAAGGAATGCATTTTTGTCCTTCTCTGCAAGCAGTTAGGATGATTTGGAATCGATACGAAAGTTTAAACAAGTTCAGTTCGTGTGATGTGTTGCCCCTCGTTGTGATGTCTCGGGTGAGGGAAAGCCGTTGTTCCTACACTAACGCGACTATATTGGCAATCCCCTCTGTTGAAGAATCCGTCTATGTTGGTGCTATGAGGGCACAAGCCTTGTGGCTTTTCACCAAACAACCACGTCAGACGCGAGACGTCGGAAGATGTCTTTTCACGGTGTAGTATGCGCAGGCTGAAGCGCCTCTCGATCCTACGGCCAGCCTGCTCTCTGAGGGCGCACGCCGTAGGTTGCGGAGGATTGCAAACCAGGTTTTCCGCAAGCACTTCCACCTACTGCAATGAATGCACATGTTGATGAATGTTCTATCGATGTTGGAGCATTTCTTCTTGGTCGAGGCCAAGAGGCAGTTCGCGCTGGAGACTGCGGACGTGATCGGAAGTCCGAGCCAACCAATTACCCGACTGTGACAAATGACATCGTCAAGATAGAAGTTCGCATCATCGGCTTGCGACGCAAAGAAAGTTCCAGTCTCTGAAGTCTTCTTCGAGAATTGTTTTCAATGATTGCTAACTTTCCATGGTGTTGTATTCGGGGTTTCGCGCCTCGCGTCTGTACAGGTGGAGACGGCGGGAAGCTCGTGGTTTAATGTTGGTTCGATTGGTAAGCTCTACTTGGACCAAGATCAGCGGCAAGCCAACCAGCGAAGCGCGCGTTGATGTGGCTTCTCCAGCAGGGCCACTGCTTGATTTCACCGTCGTACAGAGCATGCGCCATGAGTAAGCACCACGAGTCCCCCGGTGCCCGACCAAGTGCGGGAATGTCGAGGTGCAGCTCCAGACGGACGGACTTTTCGGGTGTCGGAGGGCAGTCCGGCGCTGCTTAGTGTCTGCTTAGGTCAACACGCACCTCCACCATGTAAGTAAGCTCGCGGGCAACAGCCACGCAGCACCTCTGCGGCGCGGGGTCTGCAGTATTGGACGGAACTTTCTTCTGGGCGATGGAGCGTGAGTGGCCTCTGTTGCGCCAGTGTCTTTGCCTGATTCGGTAGTTTATGTCGAGATGCGTCTACTGCGGTTGTGGCACCGCGATGTCTTAGACTGTGTGTGCTTGGCAAGCAAGCAGGCTGGAGTGCTTGGACGAGGGGTATATTAAGCTTGGACGACGCTGCCCCTCACTGACGACGAAGCAGAAGAGCATCAGCAATCCAAATACCACTGTCTTGCAATCTTGTTCCCAATCGGCACTCAGATATCGAATTGTGAGACGTTCCACGCATAGAAGCACTCAGGTCCGTCCGAACTCCATCGTCGTACAAGTACCGGAGGTTCCCCATCCTGACTTGATAACGCAGCTAGCACAAGCTTCGATCCAACCTATTCCAACTACGAAAACAAATCCGCGCATAGCAATTACGCAAACCAGAATCAACAATGTCCAAGAAGATCATCACAGTGTTCGGAGCGACTGGTGCCCAGGGTGGCAGCGTCGTCAACACCTTCCTCAACGATCCTAAGCTCAAGGCAGAGTGGGCAGTCCGCGGTGTCACCCGTGACACCACCAAGGACTCTTCCAAGGCGTTGGCGTCCAAGGGCGTCGAGGTTGTCAGTGTAAGTTGTTTCGACTATTCTTACCTCACCCAACGATATACGAGGCAAAGAGCTAACCCTCTTCCACTCAGGCCGATCTTGGAGACAAGGCGTCGTTGGCAGCTGCTGTCAAGGGTGCTACTGCCGTCTTCGCCGTGACCAACTACTGGGATAAGCTGGACAAGGGTGGGTTTATCAAATCGGCTTGCGAGACAACCCTTTCTAACAAGAAGGCAGACTTGGAAATCCAGCAGGGCAAGAACATTGCGGACGCCGCGCAGGAGGCCGGCGTCCAGCACTTCATCTTCAGCTCTCTGCTCGACATCAACAAGCGTAAGTTTGTTAGCTTCCACGTTATGGCACAACGCAACTCACTAATACACCCTTGATAGTCTCCAAGGGCGTCCTCCCAGACGTGTACCATTTTGACAGCAAGGCCGCTGTTGAGGAATACATCCGGACCCTCTCCCTCCCCTCGACCTTCTTCCTCCCCGGCCTCTACATGTCCAACTTCCCCGGCGGCATGTTCCGCCAGACGCCTCCGGACAACGCGTGGGCCGTGAACCTGCCCATCCCGGCGTCCGCGCCGATCCCGCTCTTCGACACGGTGGCCGACACCGGAAAGTTCGTAAAGGGCATCGTGCTGAACCGCGACAAGGTCCTCGGCAAGCGCGTGCTCGGTGCGACGGCATACGTGACTGCCGGCGAGACGGTCGAGGTGTTCAAGAGGGTGTACCCCGAAGCCGGCAAGACGGCTAAGTACAACCAGCTCACGCACGACCAGTTCCGCGGGGCGCTCAAGGGCCAGGGCATGCCCGACTTCGTGGCGGAGGAGATGCTGCAGAACATGAGGCTGCTGGATGAGTTTGGATACTACGGCGGCGAGAAGCTGGACGAGTCGCACGCCATTGTCGAGGACAAGCTGACTACGTGGGAAGAGCACGTGAAGAACGCCAAGGCTTTTGCCGGGCTGCAGTGAGCGCGGAGGGTGAGAAATAAGAAACGTGATAGGACGATAGAAATTGAAGCTTGTGATTTTGAACCCTTGATGACTCAGATGGTCTAGACACTTTAAATCGTGACAAACGTGTTGTGTTGTGCTTCGTTGCAAAGAGGGTCGGTTTGCTGGCGACGCACGGCACGCTTTTGCAGCGTCATTGGTGGCTGCGTGTAGCTGATGCGGATCTGGGGATCTCGCTGTAAGTCACCGAGCAGAGGACCACAATTTCCTGTATCTGCGCGGCTATGTTTCCGACGTAGTCAATACCCGTGAATTTGAAGCTTTAGCTGGATCAAGAACGATCACAAATCATAGTGATTAGAGACGACGACAACGGTAGTCGAAGCGACGAGAGTGACATCGAGCGAGACATTTAGAGACGACGGCAGCGGACGACGGCAGCGGACGACGCCGGCGGGAACGACGATAGCGAGGAAAAGTAGTTACTCTAGCACAAAAACTTGGTGGTCTCGCAACGAATAGCCTTCGGTGCAAATAAAGACGACATAAGTCCGAAACCGCCAGAACGGTTTGAGACCCTGAATGACAATGTTTGCGATCTGATGAAAGATGCCGAGGCCTGGTTCTTTTGGCGGCGCAGCAGCGGCAACGAAGCAGCGTGAGCCAGGCCTAGGCCGCCGGCCGATATACCGAGGCAAATGGAACCTGACCCCCCGACCCCATGTTTTTTTACCTTTTAGTACCCTCGCCCTTCGCATTTCCTCTCCACATTTTCAGTGTAAACGCCAAGCACAGGCCCCGGGTCACTTGCCGCCAGCATTTGCGACTGGCAACTGCACGCACGGCTGCGTCCCCGACCCCGTCCGCCGACTGACCCCCATTACTCAGGTCTGCTGCACTATCAGCCCAATCCGCGTCCGTCATCCCAGCGACGCTCTTCCTCTCCTCTACCCCGACTTTGCCTTCCCCTCTCCTCCGCTCCTACCATCGCCAACGTCGTCGGATCGTCTTTCGACATCCCAGCTGATCGAGGTCGATTGCCATCTTCCATCCGACCTGGTTGCGAAAAGCCATCCTCCGTCACATTTCCGGTGCTCGATATAGAGAAAAACAAAGCAGCAGACGGCAACGTCGCCACCAGCCAACCCCGACCGGTAGATTGCGAGATAACGCCGAGCGACACCAACGACTGTAAGGAAAACTTCTTCCTTATCGTGAAACAAGAAAATGGCATCACCACCAAAGCCTTGGGAACGGGCCGGCGCAACTACCGCTGCGTCAAGTGCGTCTACCAGCACCAACATTGCCAATCCAGCCTCTAGATCGAGATTATTAACGGTTTCATCAATAGCTCCTACCGCCGCTTCCATCGCGACCCCGACACCGGCGGCCTCGATTGCCTCGACGACTTCACCATCGTCGGCGCCCACTGTCCCTGAGCGACCAGCTTCCCTCGCCTCCGCGGTCAACCAGAACGCCTCGGCATACAGCCGGACCGGACTCGGAGCCGGTATTGGTGCAGCAAGCCCTTACGGCGGCGGATACTCTTCGCCTTACGGCAGCCCGTACTCAAGGATGGGTTCCTACGGCGGCTACGGTGGCGGCATGTACGGAGGTTATGGCGGATATGGCGGCGGCATGTACGGAGGAGGCATGTACGGCGGCATGGGGGGAATGGGCATGGGAGGCATGCCCGGAAACCCCAACGATCCGAACAGCTTGACGAATCGATTCAACAACAGCACTCAGGCTACGTTCCAGATGTTGGAGGGCATCGTCGGCGCCTTTGGCGGTTTTGCTCAGATGTTGGAGAGCACGTATATGGCTACACACTCCAGCTTTTTCGGTAAGTTTCAGCATCGGATCGTTGACAGCACACGTCACTGACAAGAAAACAGCCATGGTTTCAGTAGCGGAACAGTTTAGTAACCTCAGAGATACCCTGGGCTCGATTCTGGGCATCTTCACTCTGATGCGCTGGATCCGTACCCTCATCGCCAAGATTACCGGCCGTCCACCCCCAGCCGATGCGACGGCTCTTACACCGGCTGCCTTTGCCAAGTTTGAAGGCCGACCGCCCATCGGCCCCGATGGCGCTCCTTTAGGACCTCCCAAGGCTTCTCGCAAGCCCCTCTTCTTCTTCATTCTTGCTGCGTTCGGCCTCCCGTACCTGATGCGCAAGATGATCAACACCATGGCCCAATCTGCGGAGGAGGAGGAACGCCGCCGCATGGCGCTCGCCGGCGAGCAACAAGCCTTGGACCCCTCCAAGCTTGACTACTGCCGCGTAATGTACGATTTCACGCCCCAAGCCGGCAACGCTGTCAAGGATGTGGACATGGAGGTGCGTAAGGGCGAACTTATCGCCGTTCTGTCCAAGAGCGACCCCATGGGCAACCCCAGTGAGTGGTGGAGATGCCGCGCTCGCGATGGCCGCATGGGCTACCTTCCCTCGACCTACCTCGAGGTTATTAAGCGACCTGGACAGCCCTTGGCCGCGATCAAGGCTGCCCCCGTGCCTGAGAAGGCCCCGGAAATCAAGACCAAGATTGGTGACGTGTCGCCCGAGAGCTTCCAGAAGAGCGTGTTCTATAACTAGGCGCCAGAGAGCTGCTCATCTGAGTAGGCGCCAGACAGTTCCTCATCTGATTTCGCGCCGGAGTGCTTCAGTGCTGCTCATCTGAGTAGGAGACACTGCTCATCTAAGTAGGAGACAGAGAGCTGCTCATCTGAGTAGGAGACACAGAGCTGCTCATCTGAGCATGTGTCAGAGAGCCTCTCACCGGGCTTTCGCAAGTTCCTCCGCAAACCCCGTCTATAAAGCCATTCATTTTCTTTGTAAAGAGTGTACGATTCTGGCATTCAGTTTAGGGGCTGTTGTTTGTCCTTTGGGACTTTAAAAGCTGGGCGTTCAGGTTGACGATTGGATCCCGTGGCATTGGGAGCGGTTTGCTGCTGGTTGGCTACTTTGGTCTCAGTATGCTATGAATACCCAAGGTAATGCCTACGAAGCAGTCTTTGTTTATAGCGAAGAGAATGCATACAATATGTTTGCACAAGTTGATCATGAAAACATAGACCGTGATGAGGCACATGCTCCGCGTGGATGAAGAACAGGCATGGCCAGACCAGCGCCAACGCGGCTCCACAGGATGTGGCTTGGTGCCCAAACCTGATTCGTGTGTCCTTTCCCATTCCTCGTGCCATCTCGATATTGACGTCAGATTGGATGACTGGAGTCAATTCGGGTGTCCTCCTACGGACGGCGGCACAACATGGCCGGCCGGGCCCGGATCCATCTGGCGGCAGCTGCCGCAGCTGCCGCATCAGGCAGATTGCACCCTTAGCTTTCCCTCAGCTTCCGTCCAGTCGACGCACGAGCCACCGATGACGTTGTTGACTTACGTCTTTTTTGCTGTACCCGGTAGCTTCCTCCCAGCTGCAGTAGGTCCCTCACACAGGAGCACCGCAGCCAGAGGGAGCGGACCCGCCCAGGTTCAGTTGCTCAGCTCTCCCCGTAACGTTTACGTAGGTATTCGTCCGCACGAAGATAGGCAGACAGGCACGTAGGGAAAGTAGACCGGTACCTTACCTGCTGGCAGACACAGGCACGTTTTGTGGTCCTGCCACCTCTACCTTACGGATCCCGTCCCACCATCGTCACCTTTCACGCACATTGTACAAAAGGCCAGCTCCTCCCAAGTCCGCCTGCCGCTTCCCTCGCAACAAATCACAGCACTCCGAATCTCCAATACCCACGCAACTTTTTCGCCAGCTCAACACACAAAACACCGTCGGTCAAGTCAGTTTGGGCTTCCGAGTGTTTCTTTCCTACAACCATCAATCCCTACTTCGACGGGAAGCACACGACCAACCTTTCACAAACTGAAGCTTTCCCCGCATCGTCAAGATGACTCTCTACTACACTCTCGTACGTCTCGGCTTTGCACAACACCGGCGTCGTGCCTCTCCTGCACTCAGGGAGGGGCAATTGAGGAGAGCCGTCGCTGACTAGATCTAGGTGTTTATGCTGCTCATGGCAGAGATGGGCCTGTTCATGCTCCTGATCGTGCCCCTTCCCTTCGCCATCAAGCGTAGACTCTTTACGTATGTGCTCTCCCTCCGCTCCCTCTGCCCCTCTGCATGCTGCGTTGCCAAAGAGCTCGAAGCTAACTGTCCGGTCTTTCCGCAGCTTCATCTCCGAGAGCCCCATCGTCGCCAAGGTCCAGTACTGGATGAAGATCACCTTTGTCTTCATCCTCATTCTCTTCATCGACAGCGTCAACCGCGTCTACCGCGTCCAGGTCGAGCTGGCGCTTGCTACCGAGAAGCAGAACAGCGGGTGCGTACATCATTGCCTCCCTTCCACAATCTCTCCCTTGGAATACCCACCTTCAAGGAGCCCCTCAGGACAATAGACTCACTAACAATTTGTCCAACAGAGCCGCCGTCATGGGCCACGAGCGCCTCGAGGTGCAAGCCCGCAAGTTCTACTCCCAGCGCAACATGTACCTCTGCGGTTTCACCCTCTTCCTGTCCTTGATCCTCAACCGCACCTACGTCATGATCCTCGAGGTCATGCGTCTTGAGGACAAGGTCCGCAGCTACGAGGGCACCCAGGGCAACACCAAGCAGAGCGAGAAGCTCGCCGTCGCCGGTGATGCTGGCGAGATTGCCAAGCTCAAGAAGGAGCTCGAGAGGAAGGACCGCGACATCGAGACCCTGAAGAAGCAGAGCGCCGGCCTGCACAAGAGCTACGACGAACTCTCCGAGCAGTACGGCCAGACGCAGCCCAAGGGCGACAAGAAGGCACAGTAAAAGGCCTTGATGTAAATCGACTTGACGACTTTTTTCTAAGTGGAAGACGACTTCGGAATAAAATTTGACACGCGGTGGTGATGAGGTGAGGGTTGGCCGGGAGCTGGACAGCTCTGAGGATCCAACAAGTTAAAGGTTAGGAGGGTTCGCCGGCACGGCGAGGCGTTTTAGCTATACATCAGCTTTGAGTTTCGACGCAATTGGATCCATTCCAAGATGAAATGTTCTCGTCCATTATGTCAGTCCCATGTTATGATTGCTTGAACGAAATGCGTAATTGATGCCTGACCAGGGCCGTCACTGTCTCGGCAGTATGAGTACCCAGGCAACCTTGACATCTGCAAACTATATATCAGGTTAAATTATATGTCTCACAGAGAAGACGATGGTCGCCTTTGTGGTCGTTGTAAAACGGGCTCATCTTGCTCAAGTCGATGATATTCTCGCATTTAGGGCAAACTGCGACTGGCGTTATGCGGTTGGGAACATCCTGTCACGAAGGCACACTTGCGGGCATGACCCTCCCATCGCGGGTTCCATACCGTCTTCACAGCAAGTAGTGTAAAGACTGCTTCCACGTTCCCAATGCTCATGTTGTTCTGAGGTTCTCTGGGCCCTCGACAGTTATCCTGACCACGATCGACGCAATTTCGATCTTGACTGTTTTTGACCCTGACTTGCCGCAAGTTTTCAAGTGAGTGCCCGAAAGACGAAGACGACGAAGACGACAACGCTATGGACGAATACGGACGACATGGAACAGCGGAGACAGCAATCGACGACGAGAGGAAAGGAAAGTTCGTTCGCCTTAACACAACAAGGTGATCAACGTAATCATTCGGTTGAACTGCAGGATTTGATGTTCACATGCAGTTGTCGTGCTGTTCGACCCAGTTGATGCCGAGAACGTGCGAACATCCTTCACAGCCGTAAGTCCGGTCAGTACGGGGTAAGAGATTTGCCATTTCAATCCATTTGGAATTCTCGTCGAACTTTTCGGCCGTGTAGTAGAAGCCATCCGGCCTCCTGTCGGTTACTCGATCTTCACATACGTTACAAGCAGACCCCCTGGTTCGGGATTTCTTATTGTATTAAACGAGTTCCCGGTCCTTCAAGCATGTTGTTCCAAGGCTAGAATGTTCTCGGAGACCATAATAATTGCGGCAAGCCTGATCTTCGCACCAAGTTATCTCTTTGAATTCAGTGTCATCTTTCAGGTTGTAGGACGCAGGATCCAACGCAAGGTACCACTGGGGACTAGACGGACTCAACTGGCCCGAGTCCTCCGAAGCATCGAACGTGCGATCAAGGGTGAATTCCCAGCAGTGTTTATGGGATCCACAGTTCCGGAAACTGGCTTGAAAGTAGGCAGTTTCGTCCGTTGTCCATCGGTAGAACTTGTGACTATCTAGCCTGCCGTCAGCATCGGTACCCATATGATATCTAGAAAACTTACGGCGGCGCGCCGCATCACTCTTGATCGCCACTCGGTCATGGACTGGAATCCCGTATCTCTCGATACCTTCGTAATGGAGACAGTGACAAGAGTTGGGGTCAAAACATAGCATAGGATCTAACCGTTGGGGGCCTTCTTCAGGGTACCATGAACAAGGTGATAGTTCTCGCAGCTCAGCAATCCGGCGTCGAAATTCGACAGCAGTGACCGGGCATTTTCTATTGGGGAACCGCAAATATTTTCTTGTCTTCAGAAGAGCCACTTGACTAGCCCAGGGAGCGTTGCCCTTCGTGTGTTGAAATTCCGCCTTCACCTCTTCAAACCGTTCTTTGTGACTAGCATGGTCACAAGTGATGGTAGAAACACTCTTTCTTCTCGAGGCCGGAAGTGACGTGTTCGAAGATACTCTCACGAAATCGTCCCATGTGAAGGTCTTGTGTTCGCACAAGCGTATGTGCCCTTCTCGACCGATACAGACTCTCGAATGTGACCTCTTCTGGCGCTCCGCAACGGAGAAGACACTCGTCGGATGGAGTCGGTCACAGCCAGAACAGTACAGGAAGGCTCTGGCGCGATCAGACGACCAACTTCTAGGCAAGCGGTTGGTTTTGCAGCCTCTGCAAAATCCTCTCGTCTCTGGCGCCGCGAAAGAAAGGGCTTTCACCCAGCCCTTGGCTTGGAAAGGCGATTTCCATAAAAAGCCGTATCCGTCGCCGTTTCTATGCCATTTGGAGAAGAGCCTCGAAGAGAAGATCCTCATGAATGTTCGCGAGGCGCGGCGGAGTTGGCAGGCGGTCGTCAGATCCGTTTGCTGCATGATATTGACCAAGATGTGGTCAGGGAGCCCGCAAAGCGGGCTCTTCGTTGCGTTGCGATATATCGCAGCTATCAAGGGGTCAATGTTGACGCCCTCGGGCCAGTTCAAATCTTCGTTGTCCTCGTTCGAGGCGAGCTTGTAGCTTGTCGATTGGGATGGCAGAGGGTACATCTGGTTTGTGTACGGCTCTTGGCCATCCTCCATCTCGTAGGCGATGTATGACGACGGACTGCTCACCGCGTGCTGGCCGAGTCCAGGGCACGCGTAGCGTTCGACATACTCGTTGAAGCAAGGCTCGATCCCGGAGGCGGTGAATGAGCCGGGTTCAGTCAAAAGGAAGCTTTCGAAATACTCCTTGGAGGAAGGGGGGTATCCTGTTGGCCACATCATTAATGATCGAAAGGTGCGTCAGGTTGGTGGTCTTGATCTTCGTATCCTGTTTGTGTTGTGTGTTGTGTATTCTGTTTCGAAAAGAAGTTCTTCCCGGTAGAGTTTGTATATTACAGGAACCTTTCGGGCTCACCTTGATAGCCACACCTTGACAGTTCACGGTACTTGGGTCTTCCACGCGATATTGGAGGCTTGCTTGTATTTAGCGCAGATATGGACAGAGATGGAGGGCAGTCACAACCAGAATCACAAAAGTGGACTCCACGATGGGAACGGATTATGTCGGCATACAGAACCCAACTATTCAGTCAGATCTCCGTTGTAGAAATCATCTCTTGGACGTTGGTCAGGAAACGCTCACATCATAGAAGTGTGAGGATAACTGCTATAAACCGTGCGTGAGTGTCCGTCTACTGCCTGAAAATCAAGAACGGCTGAGATATATAGACCCATCCATCTAGAACGTAAGCGAAAACATAGAACCGAAGAAATCATGCGTCTGAATGTGCTTCGTCTTCAGCAATTCATATCAAAGCTACCAGAAGGTCGAAGTCATCATGAGGACAGTAGCAGCAGCATGGTTTATTGAACATACGGGGCCTTTTCCGTCGTTAGTGTGCTCCTGAGGAATACTTCGAGGGAACTAGAGGAGCAGGAAACCAGTATGCTAGGCAATGTACTTGGATTACTTTAGAAAGAAAGAGAGAGAGAGAGAGAGAGAGAGAGAGAGAGAGAGAGAGAGAGAGAGAGAGAGAGAGAGAGAGAGAGAGAGAGAGAGAGAGAGAGAGAGAGAAAGAAGCCTATGTGACTTAAAATCAAACATCTCTTGAAAACCGGAAATAGTCATTAGGCTTGGAGCTAAGTTGTAGTAGACGTGTCCGGAATAACAGTATTTAAAAGAACCGACTAGGAAATGCACTTGTAGAAAGACGCAGCAAATCCTTCGAGCAAGAGCGAGTATCTGATCCCTTCTATATCAGAACTCTTGTGAAATTCCACCGTCACACTTCGGAAACAGCGGTCAGAGATATAATCGTCAAGTCATTATCGCTTAGTCCTCTTTCGCGCGTATTCAGTCAGTTTACTTGGCTAGCACCGGCACTGAAGAGCGATGAAGCATGTTGGGAAGTTGCAATTGAGCAACGGTGGTTGGGCAAGTGAAATTGGTCATTACCACTTGTGCCTCAAGTAGCCACTATTTTGTAGAAGTGATCCAGAGTCCAAAGACCTTGTCGACTGAATTCGATAGCTGCCGTGTGCTCCTTAAATAGAGAGGCGATCCCACTTAGCAGGACGTGTTGCATCTCTATTAAGCCCTAGTGTTGACGGGCATATAAAGATAAATCTAAAAGGGCCATGTATCGCAACCAAATGTTGCCTAGCCACTGATCAACTGGATCCCGGTGAACAAAGTCTGAGGCATGGATCCTTCAGCCTTGTTCGTGGTTAAGATCCATCGCTGGGGCCAAACTTCTGTAGCTTCGCCATGAAGAAAGGGACAGTAAAACAGTCAATCGTCCCCAAAAATGCTAGTATTGATACCAATACGCCATGAAATAAGCACAAGGCCGTGTGAGACACTGAAAAATCCAATGAAAGTGACACGCAGAACAATGTCAGCAGCCAGAAGCTGGGTACGTAAGAAGGCGCAGAGGTGACGCGACTGCCTTCAAGTCTCAATACTTGAATGCAGGCTTGGGACTACTTCGTCGAAAGTTTCCTCAATATGCCGGCGGAAATAGCAAATACATCAATCTCGAATTCACTGAGTGGTAAATGGTCACTGTTGATAGGCGCCGACGGAGAATGGGAGACTCAGGAGTTTGAGTCTGGTGGGCGGCGCGACGTGGAAAACTTCATGATTGACCATGCTAGGTGGCGATGGTTCTCAATCTTTATATCAGGATCAGTCGTATATGTCCGATTTATTTCTTTAAGCCAAAGGCAGCCAATTAGAACCAAGTTTGCAGCTGCTTGGAGTTGATAAACGCGTTAGTGGTCATGACGTCCCTCTCCAACTGCCCTAGGCTGGAAGTTATGCTCGGAAACGTGGATAAAATCTCCTGTACGAATACTGCAATGAATAATTTCAGACTCACGCTGGATACTAGAAGCACTAAACGGTGTCGGCTGCAAGGTTCAAATGAGCTTCGTCTGAAGGAAGGTCAAGTGTTTCGTAAGCTGTTGAACGCAGGTTGAGCGCACAACGAGAACTACACCCCCTACACCGACTCGAATTGCGGTGGGCTGTTCGTAAGATCTTTCCTTCAGGGCCTTTCAACACGTCTGGAGGCAGCAATCTGCCATGTTATGCCCAAGATGGATAGAATCTGCGTTATTCGACGATTGACCAGAAGTTCGTGACCCGACCGGAACCCTTCTACTGCTCAGCGAACAACTGATCTGAATAAGACCAACGAGGACAACGAGGCCGACAACAACGATAGGAACATTAAGGACGTCATTGATGTGATCGACAGGGACGAAGGACGAAAATCAGGGTCGCTACTAAACCTACAAGGACACTTCCTTCTAACGCCTCATCTGTAATGCAATCGCGTAATGACTTTTGATTTTGTCTAGCCCATTTTAATCCTGGGGTACATCAACTTCTGCTTTTGTGATGTGTCCCAACGTGGCCGTACCCTCGAACATGCGTCGTCTTCGTTTAAAAAAAGCCAAAGGTAGCAAGGTCTCTCTTTTCCATTTGTGCCTATCCCCGTGTCTACATCATCTTATCATGGCATCAACAACTTAACCCTCGGCCTCGTAGGCGTGGGACTTGTGCTTGGGCTGGAAGGTGAAGTTGGGGTGAGCAGGTCCAAGGAACATTTCACTGTTACGGTCGTTAGCATATATAAACATAGGAACCTCCTCGGCCAACATACCTGATCTTGATCCAGTCGCGGTAGTTCTTGCTGGCAAGAAGGGTCTCCAGATCGTTGCGTCCGTGGTACGCAGGCGGACGGTCGTTGAGGTCGGGAGGGAGGTGCTCCAGCAGACCGAGAGGAACGTAGCGGTGCGCGAAGGAGAGCCACTCGAGCAGGAAGCGGCGGGTGAATCCTATGCCCAGCTCATCCGTGCCCCAGGCCTCCATGCCGAATCTACAGAACTTCTCGACGTAGGCGAGACGCTCCGTGGCCGACTTGTCGAGGTACTGACCCTTCTCGATCTCCTCAAACAGCCAGGGCTTGACGAGGGCGCCGCGACCGATCATGATAGTATCGACCTTGGCCTTCTCGATGTGCTCGTAGTACTCAACGTGGGAGTAGCAGTCACCGTTGCCGAGGAAGAACATGCGGCCGTCCTTAGAGTTGGGAAGGGTGGATTCGTCAGGCTCCCGAGCCGTGTCGGTGAGCTTGTCCTTCTGCTCGTTGTAATCCTTGATCATCACGGCACACTCGGCGATGTAGCTCCAATCGGCCTTCTTGGTGTAGCGCTGCTCGCGACTGCGGCCATGGAGGGTGATGGCGGCGCAACCGGGAGCACCTGCACGTTCGCGGTTCTCGCGAGAGCCGAAGGCGAGCTTGCCGATGATGGAAGATGCCGTCGGGCGGTTGGATTTGACGCCGGTGCGGAGCTTGACCGTGATGGGGATCTCTCCAGAGACCGTGTTCATGCCGCGGACCATGCGCTCGAGCTTGCCGTGGGACTCCAGAAGAGCAGAGCCACCACCAGACTTGTAGATCATGTCAATAGGGCAGCCGCAGTTCAGATCAATGAGACGCAGGTGAGGGACAAATCTGCTGAGGAGGTCGGCAGACTTGACGCAATGCCAGGCCTGATTGCCAGAGATCTGGGCACCGAACTTGAGATCGCGGGAGTTGTCGTAGCCCTTCACAATGCTGGAGCTCTCGGGGTTGACCTTGGGCGGGCTGATCTCGCTTTCGTGAGCCTTCATGAGGGCCCAGTCGTTCTTTACTCCTTGGACAAGGGGCATGCCCAGAGCCATCTCGGAGTAGGTCAGTTGAGCACCAAGATCGACACAGAGTCGACGGAAAGGAAGGTTGCCCTGGGTAGTCAGGGGAGCGAGTGCGGGAGTCTCCTTGCCGAAGTAAAGCCTGCGTTTCTCAGACGGCTTCAGGGGCGGCTCGACGTACTGCGCACGCAGGTCGTCATTGTTGCCAACCCTCTGATCCTTGCGGCGCTGGTGGAACTCATCGCCCAACCTCGTGTCCTTGTTCATCCAAGTGATGTACTTGTCCGTCTCGGTGAAGTCAATCCGCTTGCGACTGAGGTCAATCTTGAGCTGGTTCTCGGTGTTGTTATAAACACCCGGCCTGAGGTCTTCACGTCCAGCCTCAACAGGAGCATCGCCAGTAGTCTTCTTGGGTTCCTCCACCAGAACAAGTTCCTTGCGGCCGTCTTCGTGCTCGACTTCCTTCATGTGGCTCTTGACGAAACGGCACTTCCAGCCGGAAGGGCAGATGCCCCATTCCTCGAAGACGGGGCACTTGCCTTCGAAGGTGTCGAGATCCTCGCGGCGACCCTCCTTAAGGTACTTGCGCAGGTCGTGGACAAGGTTGCATCTGTCACCGAATCTGCACTCGCGTGGAGAGAACTCAGAGGTGTAGGCACGGCTGTTGCAGAGACGGAGTGCGTCGTCAAAGTGGCCGAAGCTGCGCTCCTTGTTCTGGCCCTTCTCACGCTTCTCGCGCTTCTTCTTCTTGTCGCGGTTGTCGCGGGCGTCTCCCTTTTGCTCTGTGCTCTCACCACGGCCCTCAGCAGCGTCGTCGTCATCAACGACCTCATCCTGGTCTCTTGACTGGTTCTCCTTGTGGATCAGAAACCTGTCTTCGGATTAGTGATACTCA